CATGATCTATCTCGTTATATCTGACGTACTTGTCGAGTAGATAAAATAACTTCGCAATAATTCAAGTTCCAGTATAAATTTGATTAAAGATTCTTGTATCTCAGATTTCTGAAAATTTGTTGACCAGCTCTTAATCCCGATGATACGATCAACGACCTATCGTAATTCTTTTTTCGAAAAATAATTTTGGAAGATAGAATTTTTTCAGAAACTCAATCTCTGATACATTTATTTCTTTCGTGATCTAATCTCACTTTTCTACGTCATGTATCTTTCCTGCTCCCTATTATCTCTACCCTCTTCACCCTCTACATCACTTATCGGAGTACTGACCAATGATTACAGAATATATTGTTGGTTTGCTGACGTTAGGAAGATAGACGAACAATAAGAATTGGGTCATAGTTATTTCTATTTTATTTTCTTTACTGTGAAATTGACTGTACTGTAAGCTGCTTTCTCGTTTTGTCGATATTCAACAAGATAATAATCATATAAAAGTGATAGAGAAATGAAAAAGACGAAAAGACTGAAAAATTGATTCTTCAAGAGAATCAAATAATTTCAAGTAATGCATCGAATTTCCAACAAAGCGGAAAATTCGAAAAATGATGTGTTTAAGAAAATATTGGAAATTATCCTTTGAAAATTGCAGGTGTTATTTCCCTTTAACCAACGGAAATCGTATTACGTTCTCCATAATTTTAATTAAATTCGTACCTAGTAGGTGTGTAGTATGCGCCTCACTCGTAGTTGATTTCCCTAGCATCGTTAGATTTTAATAACGAGAACGACGATAATTACGTTAGATTAAAAACTGTACAGATGTAGACTTGTACAAATTTTTCCATTCGCATTCTTTCGTTTATGCTAACATAGTCAACCGTGGTAGTTTTGATCGATGCTACAATGAGGCGCACAGCTGCGCTAAATTTCAAATCCATATTATAAATTACTAACGAAGTTATTAGCATCGAAGATGGTAATTGTCCTGGTGCGTCAGCGCGTGTCACCAATGACCCTTTCCGACCTCGTTTCAACGATCCCGCTCTATGGTTCACTAACGAGAACAATATAGATCTTTTTTTATTCATAAACTTCAATATTTGACCAATTCGTTGCACGAAAAGAATAATGAGAATCAGTGTTTCAATCTTCATTTTATTTACAGATTTATTTCATCTGAAAGTATAAAACGTATTATAAATTTAATGTTTAAATAATAGTTCCATACTATTCTCTTCTTCGTTGAACGTTTATCTTTATTCTATGAACCGATTAAAATTATTTATCGATGTTATTTTCTTCAAATTCGTACGTGCCTTAAAAAAGTCATGAAAACGTATTACCTTGAACGAACTCGAAGCGACCTGATTATAGCTTCGAAAAATGTAAAAGTGAGAACGAAGACAATATCGATCTATTTATCCATTCATTCCAAAGCTTTCGTAGCTTTAGAAAAGGCTAGGAAACGGTTCCATTGGCACGAGAATAAAGGCGCGAGAAGTGAGATAGAATGGGATCTGTTCCAATTGAATGCATTAAGGACGACGTAAAAAAAGCACCTAAAGACCCGCGTAACAATGAAAAAGCACTAAAATCGAAATGAAAAGGAAAAAAGAAAAGAAAAACAAAGGAAGCCTTTTAACTTTGCTACTGTGAAATACATTATATTAAAAAATTGATCGTTCAAAACGAATATAGTATAGAAATGTGCCAGTATTATAATAATTATATGCGAGAAATCACGAAAAAACGAACATTATTTTCGCTAGAAATAATTTATTTTTTCTTTGCGGAAATAGCGACACGAGATAGGACGATATAATACGAGTACGATATAATACGAGTACGATATAATACGAGTACAATATAATACGATTGCTTTTACGCAAGTACCCGCGGATTTTCAGAATAAATCTTCGGAATAAATAAAACGTCGCGTCCGGTCCCGGTACGATGCTCATAATTTTGATACGCATGCATCGATCCAGCGTGAAATCCATTGGCTCTTTGGAAACGAACGGCCACCCCGATCGCATTTTCGTATACCGTAATCTCTAATGCGTAATATCGCGCTGTTCACGCTGGGCCGGGCAACGTCAAATAAAATAAAATCGTTGGCACGTAGTAAAGTGACGCGGTCAATAATTTTGTGACCATGCGGGTCGACTCATCGTTACTGCCATCCCATCAAAAAAAGACGAATGGAGGAAAGAGAGAGAGAGAGAAAAAGAGAGAGAGAGAGAGAGGGCGGGGGCTAAGAGAGCAAGGGAGAGAAATAACACAGCTCGATTAATTTTGCATTTGTCGCGGTATCGATAAAATGTTCTGTCACACCACTGATCACACTCCTGTCGACCTCGTTGTAGTCTCAAACCTCCGAACCATCCCATCCTCTCGCGATGCATCCCTTTTCGAACGCATCGATACACACCGATCAGAACAAAGCACCAGGTTTATGAGCTTCGCGATACGGGAGAAATACTTATTTATATCCTCCATCATTTCCCCTCAAACGTTCGTCAATGTATATTAAAAATAATATTTTCCTGTGTAGTTAACTTCTTTTCTTTATGAAAGTACGCATGTAATAATGATCAAACGTAATTACGCATTTTTATTCACCGAACAAACATTTTGTTTTGACATTGTTACATAAAGTACATCCTTGCATTCGATCGATTGTTCTCTTCGAGACTCATGAAAAACGCATTTGCGTACAATATCGTCGACGGTATGTTCTTTCATTCCAACAAAAAAAGGGGAGATATACGGTGAAAAAGCTAAGGACCGATCGATTTGACACAAAAAAGGATATTATCTATCTTCAAGGGCTCATGGAAACTCGAATCAGAGAAGCTCGAAAAGAATGAAGAGACAAGGAGAAAGAGAGAGAGAGATAAAGAGAGAAAAGAGTAAAAAGAAATAAAAAGACAGAGTAGTGAGAAAAGAAGATAGAAGGAGGAAAAATATGAGAAGAAGTTCGCACAGGTGCACCGACGGCGCACGCGAGCTGAAGAAATAAGTTGCAAACTTTTATTGGGTCGTTCGTCCTACCGGAGGATTCGTACGAATGATTCAAGAAGAGTATTAGCGATGTAGGAGCAATGCGGATTCAGGAATCCCTATCGTGCGCTTCGAATTTCGTCGCGTCCTCGTATATAGATAGATAAATCGAACTGTATGTAAATTCAAAGATCTAACTTCGAGCTAACTCGAACATGGTGACTCGAATTTCGATGAAAGAATCCAAAAGAAAAGAATTGCTTTTACTTTCTGTTTTATTGTTTGCTATTACGTAAAGGATTACGAGGTCACCGTAACAATGTATTCTTTTTCGTGGACCGAACTCGAAGAGGAAGATAAAAAGTATGAGGACCGATACAAGGAACAATCATAAAGGAAACGGTCTCGTGATAAAAAGTATGGTATGTAAGACGTTGAATGTCTAACGTTTCTGAACCAACAAAATGGACATTCTACTCTCGCTTAAATGTCTTTCCGCTTAAAAAGCTTCTGCCTGCCGCCTTATAAAGTCTCCCTTAGAAAGTCGTGACACACTTGAAGAGTCCCGACAAACGGGCGCGAGAAAAAGACTGGTGGAAAGGTATTCGCGAAAAAAAAAAAAAAATACATTGCACATTTCTTTTATCGTTGATAAAAGACACGGGTCGAGGACGCCGAGAATCAAAAAGAGAAAATACCATGTGATAATAAAAATAGAAGTATAAAATAAACCGTGTCGATCCACGAATTCTATATTATCCTAAAAATTACATCGGGATTGTAAAAGTGGATGTAAAAAAGAAAACGAATAGTCATCGGAGGGATGAATGAAAATAATTATAACGCCTTTTATCTCGTTTCCTCGAAAGGAAGGAAGGAAGGAATAAGGTCGCGTGGGTGGCACAGAAGAGAAAGAGAAAGAGAAAGAAAGAATGCGCGAAAGGGAATTCAGAAGAAAGAAAGAGATTCTTGATAAAGGAACTAAAGGAAAAACAAGAGAGGAAGAGAGAGAGAGAAAGGGGTGGGGTGCCGATAGCGTCGCGTCAACGTCCGCAGCCCATTCTCGCTTCAGCATTCTTTGAGCCAAATTACCGCATCGTTCGCGCCTCTTTGCCAACCATCCACCCTTTCTGCATCCTTCTCTCTTTACACTCCTGACGGTCCTTCTTTCGATGCAGCTTGTCACTCCTCCCCTCACGTAGATCTCAAATCCGAGAACCCATTCGGGGGTTTACAAAAGAGGGATGACAAGAAAGAGAGAGAGAGAGAGAGAGAGAGAGAGAGAAAGAGAAAGAGAAAGAGAAAGAAAAAATGGACGAAGATCGCAGACGTATATCGTAGGTTCCTCTCCTTCTGTCTTTCTTGCTTTCTTTCTTTCTTTCTTTCTTTCTTTCTTTCTTTCTTTCTTCCTTTCTTTCTCACTCATTCCCTTCAGCTCTCCCTACTAGGTCGTGCCTACCCTTTCGAGAAACGCACCGTCGCGCCGCATGTGCTTCCTAAACAGGCCATTTCATCACGTTTCGTTTCCCTCGCGCCTCGTTACGACCTCTCTTTTTATTTTACTATCTTATATTCCATGACTTTTTTACCGTTCCTCCCATCTTCTTTCCTTCTTTTACGACTTTTCTCGCCTAGCGGAGCAACTTACGCATTTTCCTCGTTAAACTTTGCTGGAAGATTGTAAGCGTTCCAAGTAGAATAGTTCAATGCGAGTCCGAAATGATACCTCTATTTTTACTTTTTTCTTTGAAATCTATTAAACTTCTCAACCGATTGATCGACTTGATCGAAATTGTTCGACCTATTCGTTTACTACTACCAGTTTAACGCTTTAACTATGCGACAACTTTCCTTTGAAATTGTTAATAAAACATTCGACTATCACGAGTCGTTTGAAATCGTTGATCAATAGTCGAGTGAAAAAAAAAATATAGATGATAATTCTAACTCTAAAGATCGGATTTAGTTGATAAAAAAAAAAAGATACTTACGCGTTGCACCAGATATCTCGCTCAAGAGCAGGACCAGAAGTAATCCACCCACGAAGAGCGTGGTCAAGACGAACGATCTCGAGCTGCAGCCCATCACGGCATCACTGCTAAATTTTCACCCTTCGCAGTAGTCTACCCACCACCTTTTTTTCTCTCTCTCCCTCTCTTTCTCTTTCTCTCTCTCTCTCTCTCTCTCTCTCTCTCTCTCAGACGAAATGATCGACAGTATCACGATTACTACGCGAACGTCCGAATGTCATCCGTGTCGAATAATCCGTTGGAGCACCGTACACGTCGAATAAGTCAGCATCGATGCATCAATGGCGGCATCACTGACCGGCACGAGTCGAGCGCCTCGACATTGAGGATCCTCGTCAATGTTTTGCTCGCATTTCGCCTCGTCCTCCACCTCTTGCCCCTCGTAATACGTTATTCCACCTTTCCGAATTCCTCTTCCTCTCGGAGTTCCACGATACGTTCGCCTTATCGACCGTCATTCACGAACTTTCACAGTGCCAACGACCCCTTTCGAAGATTCTGTAACGTGGCGAACAACGTGTCACCGAAAATTCCTCACAACTCCTATCATACGTAACGATGACTCTTTATAGTTCATAAAATTTTTCACTAATCGGTTAGACGACTCGATTCGGATTTTTCTTTTTAACAAAAACGAGAGACCATTAAGAACCTTCGAGATTTTGTATGAAAATCTCGAAGAATCGCGACGACGAAAAAGCTTGTAGTTTCCCTTAAAAGCGTAGCTCGATTTTCATATATTTTTTCTTTTTTTCTTTTTTCTTTTTTTTTTTTTTTTTTTTTTATCAGAGGAAACCGCAATAAACTTCGGGAACAAGCACTTGATGCCGTTTTCAAAGTTTACAGAACTCCGCGCGAACTCTCTCGGAGAAAGTTTCGTTTCGATGAGTTTTCATTTCTTTTTTTTTTTTTTTTTGGAAAAATTCGTTCTCGTTATCGATATTGTCCATTGCGAGTCTGTAAAAGCCAAGAAAATCTAGGCCACGCGGTATATAACGAAGGATTTAATCTTCGATGGCTTCGTTGAAACTTACTCGTTTCATAATGGAACATGGTAGGTATATTCAGGCTTTCATAGCTTTTTTGACTCAGGTGTAAAATTGTGTTCTCGTCAAATTTTGATTCGTGCTTACCTTCGACTATAGATTATATCGCATCAGCGACTTGAAATAATGATTACTCGGCTAGCGGCACGACGTAATGCGAACGAACGGAAATGTGGGATGGCTCGAATCGAGGAAATCGATGGGAAATCATAATCGGCAAAATGCGTAATATTCGATCATTAAGGAGTTAATGGCACACAAGTCATTTAACCGTTCACTTTTCAAGCTCGCGATTTACACGTAATCGAGTTATCGAGCGATTCCAGGTCGATCATCGTTACAAACCAGATTTAGTCTTCGCGATTGTCGGCTTGAATGCGAATACCATATCGAATTCGAGGTAGCAATCAGACAGGCACATAAATCATTCGTACTTTTCGCGAAAACGTTGCTTCAGCGATTTCGCCAAAATCGATTCTACTTAAGCGGGGCTCTAGAGAGATTACGATACTAAACGTATACAACGTAGAAGGAGAGAAAAAGATCATATAGGTATGGCAGCGATCGATTGATCGTTCCCCTAGATTTAGATCATTATAACGAACAATTACATTGAGACATTTCTCGAGACTTTAGAAATCGGGTCATGTTAGGGTCGCAAATTTACGCGAGACGCAAAGCTCGATATCAGTTTATTCCCATCTGAAATCATCGGTCCATAAACTAGGTACGCAGAATCCCTCGTGCATATGCATCGAGCGCTCCCTTTGTTTCGCTCGCTCGTAGTACGTTGTACGTGTGCAGTGTATACTGTACGCTATACCATCTTCGGACGAGACGACTCGCGCAAGAAAAGCCAGATCACGTTTTGATCTTATTAAGAGACATTCATGCGAACGATCTTGTCAGTGGTCCTAACCTCTGATTGCACGTTTATATTTCGTCTTTTTCATTGTTCACGTTTCTTCGAACATATGAATGACTACTATACAAAACTATTAAAAGAATAAAAAAAAAAGCTCTCGTTGAAATAGATTGTCTTTCGGAGGCAATGAGCGTAACGTATATAACAAGAACGCTCTACAAGTTGGCTCCATTATGCGAATCCATAATGCCGTGTTTTTATGCGAAGATATAACAAAAATACGCGATGAGACGAGATTCAAAGTATCTGTTTTGACATCAAAGTTCGTTATATATTTTCGTCAAGTAGTCGTAGAAATGTGAACTTTACTGTCCTTCCCGTCTCTCACGCTACTACCATCCAAACAATTTATCGTTGATAACGCGGTAAAAGTATGGAGCCTCCATGCAGGCGGTTTATAAAAAATGGAAGAGCGATAACCGCGTGGTCGTCGTAACTCAGTTCGCTCGACGAGCACTGGACCACGGAAGCGAGTTCATGGATGCAAAAGCGAATTTGATACACAGAGAGAGATAAGCAATCCTTGTTAGGACAAAGAGACAAAAGGAAATAGCCGATCGTGTGCGCCTGATTCGATCGAAACCAACCGAGAGATCGTTGCGTCACGTCAATGCTCCCTTTGACCACAATAATCACGTGCGAAGCTTACTCAAAGCGTTAGAGTGATAGAGATGGAGAGATGGAGTAAGGGAGAAGACCGTTCAAACGTCATCGTACTCAGTCACGCACGTGCAAGTCCATCAACGTCGAGCTCTTTTCGTCGTCGCTCTTACTCTCTCATTATTTATCTATATACATATCTATTCTTCTCTATCATTATTGCCTCATTCTTTTTCTCCAAATAAAATTCCCATATACCTAAAAGTAAACGAGAAACGAATCTTCTCTCTTCCCTTTTTTATTGCTCCCTTCTTTTACATGCTATTACTTCGTTCCGGCGTTTATCGACTACTATATTTTCTGCGGATACGTAGGTACTTGAAAAAATTCAACCCTCCGAATCTCGCCGTAAATTGAAGAAAGTAGAATCGTTCCAATGTTTACCGAATGCAAAGAAAAGATTTCCTTTTGAAAAAAAAAGGCTACTTTCGTAATCTCGTCGTAACACCAAGAACTAGAAGGTATCTCGATTTACGAAGCACTCTCGAGCCAACGTTGAACACTTGAAAGGAGAGAAGGACGAACAAGAAGATAGGTTATAAGGAGTTGCTCGAGGATATGTCAGCATGGAGATGAAAAACGTGTCAAATGATCGCGAGGGAGCATAGCTCCGAACCGAGCGCGTACCGAGAGACCGAGAGAGCTTCGAGCGTGCTTTCAACTCTCTGGCTCCGCTTTCGGAACTGAGCGAAGAGAGGGAGCATCGTTAGACTTCAGAGGGATTCAACGCCACCCCTACCTTCTCTCTTTCTCTTTCTCTCTCTCTACCCCTACGCCCACACGACTACATCGCGCGCATCCCGCCTCACGGCGCCTAGTCTCTCACTCTTCCCCTCTCTTTCCTTTCTATCTTTCTCTCTCTCTTTCTCGTTCTTTCTCTCTATCTATCTATCTCTATCTCTATCTCTTTCTCTCTCTCTTTCTCTCTTTCTCTCTTTCTCTATCTCTCTCTTTCTCTTTCTCACCCATCTCTTTCCTACACCGATGCTAACTTCACCTGACCCCACGAACCCTACCCCCCACCAATGCTTCCACAGCGCCACCCAGGGGTGATTCTTCGCTGCTGCGCTCGGTTATAACGAGTAGCAACGAATACCGGAGCGCAGTCGAATCGGGACACGCGTCCTGTTACAAGGTCGTCTTGAATCTCTGCGTTTAAAAAGAATAAATTAAAACCTTGGAGATTGTTATTTTCGTTTTCCGACAAATATTATATTGACGATTGTCTATCTGTTACGGTATATCATTTAATTTTTATCTTAATTTTTTATTTTTATTTTTATTTTCTTATTAATGTAATTATTTATCCCATTATGATTATATAAATGATTTTTCATATTTGTATATAAAATTAAAGACTGTCGTCGTTTACTTTTACAACTTAATTTAAATACGTAATAAAAAGACAGATAGAAGGAGATGAAGACAGAAAAAGAGAGAACGCTGAACGCTTTTTATCAAACAGTTTAGATTATCAGCTTATAAAACGAAAGTCAAAATGCAATGGAACGAGAATGATCAATCAAAATCAATTGCTGACGAGGGCAAATGTCCACATAGAATACTATGTCCTATTACGCTTGCTACGAAATAACGAGACATCGAGAATATTTCGCATCTCGCAAAGGAAGGTAGCAAAGCGGTAGAACTTGTCTTAACTCCAATCACGTCTCGAGAAAAACAGCTTTTTTCCTCGGGGGAGCTATTTTCTATGTTACGGTATCTACAGGGTGCAATAAACAAGCTCCTTCCAACCATGAAAAATATGAGAGAAATGAAATAAAAAGTTGAAGATATCTGCGATAAAAAAAAGGCGTGTATGTTTCTTGAAGACTATTTAATTGGAAATTTTTCTATTTACGATGATCCTTGTAAAATTAAAAAAAAAAACTATACGAAAGACGTTCTTCCGAACGAAAATATTTCTGTAATTTTTGTAATCCCTATACTGATAGCCACTGCTTTTTTTACGTAAAGACTATACATATTCTGTATCTATATGTATATATGCGAAAACTATATATATATATATACACATACATACATACATACATACATACATACATACATACATACATACATACATACATACATACATACATACATACATACATACATACATACATACATACATACATACATACATACATACATACATACATACATACATACATACATACATACATACATACATACATACATACATACATCATACATATTTACACACTATATATATATATAATATATATACACATACACACACGCGCGCGCGCGCACACACACATACACACATATATCATCATAAATATTATATCATTTTTGCTCAGACGTAAGAAAAGAACGAACAGAATTAGCGAACAAAACTTATAATTAAATATAACATAATAATAACTTAGTAAATTATCTACTTACATCGATATACTGCAATTTTCTCATTTCGTACACTTTCTCACCTTCCAAGTTAGACATATTAATCTTCTACTCGATATACCACAATAAACTGTAAATGAAACAAATTTACTTGTTTTCTCATAGTAACGTCAATTTTTTTTATTGTTTTATCATGACAAAGTTCGTAGAAAAATTTATTACGAAAAACGAATATAATCAAACATATTTACGAAGTACATTGTACACCTTACATATATGTATAGTTATTATTTGTCTTTATTATTATGTCTTTAATGAAAACATATTTACCTATATAGTTATATGAAAATTATACTGTATGATCATCACAATATTAACAAAAGATGCAAAATACAATTTGGCAGTTAACGTTATTGAATAAATTCAAGTTCGATTAAACTATGTAAAATTTTGATTGGTCGATTGAACAAACTTCGCTCTCATTGGAAATTAATAGACAAATGATATGCGTTCTCTTACAACACATTGTTGTATCTTTAAATAAAATGTAAAAGCGCGCACAAATTGAAATTCGCAAATAATGTATTTGGTAATCAATTTTAATGCCATTTTAAAAAATTGTGTTTTTACTTCGAGTTTTATATTTAAGAAATTTATTTAATCAAGGGATTGGAAATAAGAAAGAAAATTTAAGAGAATTGATATTTTAATTTGTATTTATTTTCGAGCACCTAAGTAAATATAAAATCATTATACGCCTATATGGTTCTGTATGTAACTATATCACTATCGTATTACTGTCGTTATAACTATTTATAGAAGCTATCCTCTAATTACATATGAAATAGTAAATGTAGGCTTGTGTGTATACAGTAATATATATGGCACGTCAGTCTGTACGTTTAATTACTTATATCACTTAATTATACTTATTAAATACTACTGAATCCGTCATGAAAGTCTGTAAAGGTTTTATTGTGTTTGGCATTGTTCATATTTAATGGCTTTAGCACTACCGTATCATTTCCATGTACTTTTGTTTGTGCTTGCTAAGCATTTCAGTCACTGTTACCAATTGCTTTATTGTTGGCTGCAAAATACGTAAATTTCCATAAAATTTATTATATATAATATTCTAAATAAAATATAATTGAGCTTACTTGTGTTTTCGACAAAACTTGTAGTTCTTTTAAATGAGAAACACAGATGTGATGTAATGTCGCCAGATCTCTTGCAGTATCCGAGACGCAAGCACTTTTACTTCTTGGATCGGCGCCTTCAGATTCTGGTTTTTCAGTTACATTCTAAATATAATAAAGTATTATATTAATCATCATACATATCTCATTACACCATATCATGTACTAATTAATATAAATTATAGTAGAACTCACGGATAACTGATCCAGAAACACAACCATTCGTTCTTTATTTTTGAGAATAAAAGGATTTACGACTTCCATATATGGCTCTTTCCCACCAAATTCAACCAAATTAGCCAAATTTTGCAAACATTTTGCCACCATCACTAGTGATCTGTGCAATAGTATTATATAAAGGAAAAAAAATAAAATAAATCTATTAAGTACAACATGTATGCATCGTTACCTTGCTGCTGTTGGAGGCGGAGGTTCTGCTATCAAATTGAATGACCTAGGATTCAAAATAGCAGGACAAAGTAAACGTAAAAATATAAATCCACTGACTACTCGTGTCCTGACTAATCTTTCATGTGGCCATTTTGCAACAACAGCTCTTTGTAGGCAACCGCAAATGTATCTTAGAGTTTTTGGACAAGCATCGGGACTTGTAAAAATGCTTAATGTCACTTCATCCAAAACCTATATTTTAATTAAATTTTTGTTAAAAACTACATAATTCTTTTATATGCGTATACATTAGAAAATGTTAAAATTCTAACACACTTGTAATAAAAATTCAGCATTGCTACATGCATCTTCAGGTGAATCCATTTTAGTAGGATTCAATTCACAACTCTGTTTACTTTCGATTAATTTTACGATGGTATCGCGCAAAGCAGCTTTCAAAAACGAAGTACAAACTGATTTCATATATAAATCCATTAAAGTTGTTGTGAGACTAGCAGCTCTAAATAAAGTAGGTGTTTCATCTTCCTTATCCACCTAAATAAAAATACAATAAATAATGATAGCGATGTATTAATTCAAATCAATTTATATATTATCTTTTTAATACCAACTTCTGCTTGATTCAAAGAACGTAAGAGATCAGCTTCTTTTCGCTCATGTCTAAAATATAAATGATTATTCGTAATATTTTTAATACGATCATAGAATGTTAACGATAATTGAAAATATAAATACCTGAATATTCGAAGAAGACTATTGGCTAATGGTACTCTATCAAGATGACATACATCTGCCAAAGCCCTAACAACGTGAAGTTCTGGATCTAACAATAATTCCTGTAGGGGACTATATTCTTCCGGAGGCATTGCCAAATCATGTCTATACCTATAGTTAAACAATAAATATATTAAAATTATACAATTCCTCGCGATATACACTATACATATATTATTTACCTCAAACGTAATCGTAATGCTCCCCACTCTCCAATTGGTGTGACGCCTGATAATGGATACCATTCATCCATTTCTTCTCCATTGGTTAAACTGGACAGCTCTACTGTTAATTCCGCAACTTCCGTATCTTTACTGCGTTTGCCTTTGTTGTATAATGTCAAGGAAAATGACATAACGTCTGGTGGTACATCCCTGTTAAGTAACTTACAATAAGAGCATCGTCATGGTTGTATTTTAGTAAATTTTTTAACTTTTTAGTTCAACGTTCGGATACGTACTCCAGAATGAATTCTTCATCCCAGAGTGGATGTAATCCAGTCTTAACCTTTGTGCGTGCAACTTTTACGTTGTTTAGAGCCACTATGATGAATGGGTTTGGTACTAGCTTATATGGAAGTCTATGCGCGTCTAGAATGTGCAGATGTAATGAACGCAATTCGCGGAGACGAGCAACCTTCGGTGCACGTGTAAGTTGTGATACACATAATGGTTTCAAGGCATTAATCCAATCTAAAGCATTTTCCGAATTTGGAGCAGCCAGATAAGTTATCGTGGCCAAACATGGTAAAGCACGTTCAACTAATTGGAAGCAATGAGGCCTATCAAACACACTTTCATGGACCTAAAAAAACTATATTTCAGCGATATGGTGAAATATTATGTACTGATTCATGCACCAATTTATATGAAATATCTTGACATCGTTAGTATTTTAGTTAAAATCCTAAACTTAATACCCTATGAATTGTATATCTGAAATACTCTTATTTCAGTATAGTATACAAATTACCTGATATAAATAAGCACAGCTTAAATCAATGAGACCTTTTGGTTTTGTTCTCTTAGGATTGTCATATAAATAAAGATGTGTATCAGTAGCATCTACTAAAAGTACAAAATACAATGCTTTCCATTTTTTGTTTTTCTCTGATTTTTTTTCCAAATAACCCTGCATTTTTATTCCTTTATTTTTCTTTACGCCAGATTGCTCACGACATTCTCTAAGAGTTGCATAAATTTTTTCTGCATGTTGTACTTCTCTATTGACTCTTACACTTCCATCAGGCTCAGTCACCATTGCTTGGACTAATGTATGTCCTTCCACTATTTGTTCCTTTCGATATCTATTACATTATTAGTAATAAATTATTACAAATAATAAGAAAAATAATTCATTATAAAGAGTATACAATTACCTATTTATTACAGCATCCAGACATTCAAATGTTCTACCACCCATAAGATATCTCACACCTTTCTTTTCTATTCTAAATCTTTGTATTTGATTATTAATATGAAAGAAAAGGGAGTAATCTCCTGGACTGTTATCAGATGGTCGAACCTTTATATAAAATTTATTAAAGAAATTGAATGCGAGTAATAAAATAATGTTAAAATTACGTAAGTTAGAATACTCTCTTTCTTACCAAAAAACTTCCAGGACCTGCTTTGACCAACATATCAACAGCTTCGCTTTTTGTAACATTTGGATGGAACCAAGAAAATACAGTGTTTGGATCAATAGAGTCATCCAAATCCTCTACTAATTCCCGGAAGATAAGTCCTTGTTCTCCAGTTCTATGAGCAGTAACCCATAACCAGCCATCACCCATATCATTGTGAACAAAAAATATATCACCCTTTTGGAAACTTAATTCATCCGTATCAGGCATTTTTGTGTATGGCAATATCGCAACTATCCTCTTTTTGTCATTCACAGGCTCAGGTGGAGGTGTTGGATGTATAAGTCTTTCTCTCTTTAAAAGATCCGAGCAATGAGTATAATAAGCAACAAGGTCTGATAAACTATTAAATTGACGACCTCCTGCAAAATATATTGTTGCTCTTTAACACCTTTCATATTTACATGAAAATATTGTATTGTAAATGATATCACAAAATCTATATGAAATATAACTTGCATCAAGAGTACACTTGCACTGATGTTATTCCTAATGAAGTATGTGATCCTACCAATATAATAATCTCCACACACAGCCGTAATTCGAAAATGATTAATTCCAGTTCTTCCAAAATAAGATAGTACGTAACTACCAGGCTTTCTATCACTTTCACGAACCAAGTAACTTCCCATTTTACTAGCATCCCATAGTCTTTCTTCTGCGGTAAATCTATCTAATCTTCCATGGTACCATCTATAGATAATTAACTTATTAATTTAAATATTAATATTAAAGGGAATGATATATGAATTATTATTCAATTATAAATACTTCACTAGTATATAAAATAGTTTTAAATGCCATGCAAATTTAATGACAAGAAAAATGAAATAATCTCACTGATTTTCTGGAGGAGCAGTTAACAATGTAGCATTTGCACTGTCAGGTTCTTCTGTATCCTGTATATCATCAGGTATATTTTCTAAGAAAGGATCAAACTCATTTTCCACATTCAAAGATTCATTCTGCCCACCATCTTCACTTCCAGTACTGGGTGAACCGCCTTTACTACTATGATCCATCTATAGAAACAAAAGAGAAACAAAAACAAAATATATATATATATATATATATATATATATATATATATATATAATAAAGGAACAAATTACGAAGAATATGTAATAATAAGATCTTAGTTCAAATATTTAAATATCTTAACATTTTTATATTTTTAAGTTAATATATTAAATATGATACAAAAGAAATAAAAGTATTACGCTTAATAGAATGTTTACATTAACTTATTTGTAATTAATACAATGGAATGAATGTAAGTAATACAAAGGGTAACAAAGAGAAATATATACATGTTCTTCATTAGTACTAGAGACATGGATATTTATACAAAATCATTATATCCTATTATTAAAAAATTTATCTAAACAATAAATAAATGGAAATTTCACGAACATTAGACAATGAATGGAAAGAAATTTTGAATGAGAATTAATAATAGCTAATTTTTATAGCGTGAAAAATAAAGGCTTCGAAAAGATGAAAATTTCTCTTTACTTTTTTTTTTCATTCAATAAAAGAAGTTTTTTCTTCAAATAAAAATCTAAATAATTTCAAAGGAATAATATAAATGTATATACGTACCTTAGTGTTATTCGATACACTAGGTCCTCCACGTACAAATTCTGCCATTTTATCAACATGCACTCGTTCACACACACGTTTATTAAAAATTCGAAGTCTTAAGTAAACAGCATTCGTCTTATTGCACCCTTTCTTTCTACATCTATTTACAAAGATAGGCTTTTATCGATATAAAATGTATTGACGTTTCCAGGCTGCCATTTTACTACCGCACACGCTACCCCAAAATACATACAATCAAGAGAAGATCTTCATCAGAAAATGTCAGATTGTAAACAGCGAATCAACTTCCTATGGAATACGTTAAATTTTGATATCCAGAACAATGTCACCAACTTTATTCTTCTCAAATTCCCTAAAAATATATTTAACACCAGTGGTTCTAAAGAGACTTTATTAATGATATATCTTATGAATTTATATGTAACATTATCCTATTTAATTATATACATTTTTGGTAGACATCTTTCACAATAGCGATTCAATCCTTGGATAGAAAAAATTCTTATTATTTTAAGTTATTCACTAATATTACATTCTTTTCTTTTTATATCTTTATAATGTAAGTATATTATTAAAATATATCAACAATGGAAAACATAAGATAATAAATAGTACGCAGATTCTCTATGCGTTGAGATTGGTTAAGACAGAGACGATCAATATTCCTTATAAAACTATATTTTTTATATAAAGTAAATAACTATTCTAATTAATTATGTTTAATTTCATTTCATTTTTTAATTATACAATTTTTTAATTATATAAACAAATATTCGAGTTTAATTGAATTGAATAAGTGACAATTTTTAGTTTTCATTCCTATTATTATTAGAGCGCTACTATTTATTTCCGGCGTATTGTCGATAATACAGATCATGATATAGAAATAGAAAATGAGTACAGTTATTGTGATTTGTCGTTGATTTTTAATACAATCTGTCAAAGAAAGTGTATACTAGTATTTGTCCTGTGTATAAAAAACAAAACTGCAACATTACATTAAACGTTCAAATATACCTTACAGTTAATAGGCAAAGTATCATTATTTATTATTACAACAAAATATAATTCAAGTTGCATTTTGCATTTATTTTTATTTCAAGCAATATATGCAAATATATATCCTTATAAAATAATAATAATATAAATATATATATATATGAATTATTTTCATTTAAATTTATGAAACAGATAAAATGTATACGTAGTTATTATTTGACTACATTTTTATGTTAGCAGTGAATCAATGATGTTTGATCTACCATCAGAATTAACTGCTAAACCATTAGCTTTGATCGGACTATCTGGTTTAGATATAACAAATGTTATCCATCGATCCATTTGGGATGCATTTAATAATAATCGTAGACCAGATGGTACTACTGTTCAATTTATGTTATTAGGACCTAAACATGAATTTCCTACTGTTAAACCAAAGGTACACATATATGTGCTATTTTATTGTATTTGTAGCTTTAAAATATAATAATGAATTTTTTGTACAGAGAAATTCATACGAATGGTATATTCCTAAAGGAATCTTAAAACGTAATTGGATGAATAAATATCTTAATGAGATTCCAGCAGTAGTTGTAGTTTTTTATGATTTGGATTGGAATGATCCATTGTGGAATGAAAAAAAGATAGAATGTGCCTCAAGAATACAATCACTCAGGTAATATATATAATAATTTATATTAAAATTTAAACTAAAACATATAAAATATCTTTTAATAGAGCTGCCTTAGAAGGAAGAAGTACAAAAGTAGCACTAGTATTGATACAATGTAGTGTACCACCTCCTCCAGATTCTGAAGATATAGTTGCAACGGAACGAGCAACTGCCTTGTGTGGTGCTTGTGAATTACCACCTAATTTACTTTATGTATTACCTCATGGAGATCATTTATCAGGATATATATCCAGGTATAATAACAGAAATATTTTATTTCTATATATATTATCAAACTTAATGATATATTTTTTTTTAATAGATTGGAGACTGCATTTTATCAATTGGCACAAAATTTCTATCATCATGAATATCGTATTATTAGAAGTCATCGCGATCAATTAAATAAAACCGTTCATCAATATTTATTTGTACGTCATCAATTTAAAATGGGATTCTTAAATGAACTAAAGCAAGATCAACCTCAAAAGTAAGAATCCCAATATAAATGTTTTTTTATTTGATCTCAATTAATTTATATTATATTTTTACAGACATTATGTCCAAGCATATCATAATCTCTTTGAAATAAGAATGGTAGACACTAATGCATTGGAAATAAAAACTATTGCTGGTTTTATAAATTATAAAATATGCAAGATAATGTTTAGTTTAAATCTTCCAAAAGATGCTATAGCACAATTTAGACTTCACACAGAAAGGTTAGAAATATTTCTGAGATATTTATAAAATTTATAATAATATTCAATAAAAAATCAATTCAAATAATAATTTTCGCACATATAGGTTTAAACTAAAAACTGGTCCAAAAGAATTGATATTTGAGCATCATGCTTGGATGAGTAACCAGTTTTCAACATTTGCAGAATTATTTGATGATGCAATTCGACAAGGTCTTCCTGCAGTCCAAACTCAACATCCTGGATATTATTATCAATTAGCTGCACAACATGCAAGCTTGAGACAATCGGCATGTAAAGAGTTATGTAAAGTATGTAATAATAATTTATTGAATAATATTATGTTTTATCTAAATAATAACTTTGAAAAAATGATGTTATAGAATGTAAATAGTTATCCAGATCTAGATCCATTAGCTGGGGAAGAGAAACTTGAATTTTATGGGCAACGACCATGGCGTTCTGGAAAACTAAATGTAGAACCACTAGATACTGTTAAAGAAACAGCTGCTATACAAGCATTGCAATATAAAGAGAAAACAACTGTAAATCATTCTGTAAGTTTGATATATTTAACAAGACTTTCATGAATATAATAAGTTATGATAATTTTTATTTATTACTGTTTTAGATGATAATCATTGGCTTGTTGGGAAATGCAATTTCTCAATTTAAAATATATCGATGTCCTAGAATGCGCAGATCATTAGGTATAATATATTTCCTCTTTATTTCTTATCTTTTTACTTTTTAGTTAAATATATATATATATTATCAAAAAGTTTCTATTTGTTGTTGTAGTTGTACAGATGGCTGAAGAATATTATAATTCACGAGACTATGGAAAAGTTCTTACGTAAGTTATATTTTTTGCTTATATCTTTAGTATCTTTTGTGACAAATTTCGAGAGGTTTATTATCCTTTTGTAATATTCAGTAGTCAAAAATTGATCTTGACATTATTTTCTCTAGATAGTTTTCTTGTGTTAACGTCAAAATCATAAAATTTGATTGGTCAGATTATTGATGCACATGTTATGGGAGTATCATGGGGAGAGATGGCCCGTCTTGCTCACAGATATCATAAAAAATGCTTTACGAGCTGCATATTTATCCACAAGTATTCAAGACTACCTCACTTTATCTTTTGAAGCTTTAGGACCTTCTACGACATTCACTAAAGATCAACAAACTGTTGTTTATGCAAATATTATTAATATTCTTCAGGTAAAAATATTAGTATAATTAAATATTAGTATAATTTTTATCTATTTAAAAAATATTTAATTTTCTCATATATTCATCAAATATTTATTAAAGATAGATACTAACAATTTTGATTGACATATATAATATAGAAACGCCCACCGCATCCGGAATCAGATTTACCAGATGATCTAAAACGTGTTGCATTAGAAAAATGGAAATTAGAGTTAAATCGACAAGAACCAATTATGTTTACAATTGATGATAATAATATGACTTCATTTATAGATGTTAAAGCACAATTTTTGAAATCAAAATATATAGTTGATGAGGATGTTATTATTGAAGTAATTATAAGGTAGTTATTAAATTTTATATCTAAATATTTTTAATCATGTATACAGTAATTATTACATAATGTTTATTACAGAAATTCATTTTCTGGGAGTATAGAGTTTTCTAAAGTGTCCGTAACAATCAACAGCCCTGGTTTTAATACAGAAATTGTAGTTGCTATTCCTCAGCACAATAATGTTGATCTTGTATTCTCTAGTAATCAAATTAAAAAATTTTATGGTCAATTTGGAGCACCTCCTTTAAGTGATAGTAGTGAAATTCGTATTGGTACAGTCACATTGTTTATGGGAAATGAAACTCAATGTTGTATTGTATTGAGATTTCCAGCTGCAGGGAAAGAAACAAATCTTTTACATCGTTTGTATCCTGAAATACAATTGTTACAGTATGTAATGTTTATAATGTACATATATATAAACAATATTGTATGTGTGTATATGTAAATATATATATATATATTATGGAATTGTTTAAACAGTAGTGGCAAATTCGAAACGATAAAACCATTAGTAACAACAGAAATAAAAAGGAAAGAAAATGATGTTAATATAAGTGCAAAATCTAATAATCCTGCATTAATAGGAGAATGGATACCTATTATAATACATGTAACTGCTGAAAACTATATTACTATAGCATCCTTGCATGTTGGTTTTCAAATAAATGGAAACAATGAACAGTCAAGTAAGTGTTCGAAAAATATTTAACACAAAATATATTTTTAATTTATATAATAATAATAAACTGTTTCAGCTGATTTAAGTTTGACAATGTTAACTAAACAATCACAGGTATTAATTGAAATAGAGAAAACAGATACAAATTGTATAATTGAAAGAACTGTATATATGCGAGCACATAAAGTGGGTAACAGAAATATTACCATAAAAGTATGTAAAACCATATGAACTATTACAGTAAATGTATATTGTATTAATGATAGCTATAAGTAAGTTTTTGTAACAGGTGGAATATTTTTACCCAAATGAAATAAAAGGAAGTAAAGAAATTGTACATTCTATACCAGTTAGTAAACCATTTGAAGTAACAACACGATTTTGTACTAGTCTTTTAGAACCATTGACAAAAGGTTTTATTCACGAGCCTTTTATTGTCATGCCACATATTTCATGTACATCACCTTGTCCAATAAAAATTCTTAATACTTCAATTGAGTTGGTAAGTTATATATTTTTTATTTTGTTATTATTATAATATGAAAATATTATTGTTTTTTTTTTTTGTAAAGGGAGAACTGATACAAAAGGAAAATAATCAAAAAGAAGATAGTATTTTGGCAGGAACTGTACTTTCTGATGGTGAAGCAGGTACAGATGCATATTGCTTAATAGCTAAAGCTGGTAGTGAGCAACCTGTCAGTATAGGAGTGTTTACTATTAGATGGATACGGTAAGTAGTTCTTTAAAAGATTTATTCTACTTAATAATAAATTATTATTAAAACACACATTTTATTTTTAGTGCAAATGATGAGACTGCATCAGAAACTAGTAGTAGTGTAACATTAGCTCCATTGTGGATAGAAGATGCAGTAATTAGTTTAGAAACTAAATTACCAGCTCATGGTTGGGTATGCACACCACTTTACATATCATATATTATACAAAATCATTCTGATTACTTGATCACGTTACGCTTAACAATGGAAGCTAGTGACGCATTTATGTTTGCTGGACAAAAACAGGTAAATTCATATTGATTGTTCTTACACATATCATCATGATTATTTGACTTTGTGCTTTTTCTAGGTTGATATTTATATTCTCCCAAAAAATGAACGAAGAGTAGAATGGATTTTACGTCCACTCGTTGCTGGACTTGTAGCATTACCTATATTATCTCTAACTGTACCTACAGGTAATATACGACAATTTAATAAATATATTTTGTTTTTTCAATTATTTTTTAATTTCTTTTTACATAATTTTAGATGAAGAACATAAATTAAGTAAAGGACGCCTTTCGGAAATGCTAGAACGTTCATTGCCAAGTCATATTTATATATTGGTAAGTTCTTATAAATTCTATGTAATATAAAATTATTTTCTTTTTTTCATATACCATATTCTTTTTACAGCCTAAATCGCAATCTATAGATGATTAAACATAACGTATTTATTTAGAAATAATGGATATATTTTACACATAATTTCATGTGTATTACAAATATATAATATATATTAACATCATAGAAACGAATTTGTGTTTAATATAATTTTGAAATTGAAATTATTTTAACCTTAAAAGATCCTTATTTTTATGAAAATTTTCTTAAATTATATTCATTTTAATATGATATTGTTCGCTTTATTTTAACTAGCTTTATGACCCATAATTAATTCATTATTTGCATCTAAAATGTGATGTCGGTAAAGTATTAAACTGTAAAGATTTTTTACCGTATAAATATCGATCACCGTTACCAACGTTACTAGTTACGTTACAGTGTTTCGATATCATCCTTCATAAAGGACAGCATATTAGTGAAGAAGCGCTTTTAATGTTATAAAATTATTACAAAAATTGATTGTTGATAAAAAAAATGATATTGATAAAAGTGTATATTGAATATTTGTAAAATAAAAAACTTAACACTGTGGTAATTAACTATATGATATTTATATGACACGAATTGATTTAAGTAACGATATATAATAATTAATTAAAATTCGCAGAAATATAATAGACATAGTAACAACGAAGATTGTGATGGACGTTCCTGAGAAAGTTCAAGCTTCTTTAGATTCGCAGCTAAATTTTGAAGAATCGCAACTAAGAAATCAAAAATTTTTAAAGGTATAAACAGTACAATTTTATATTTACATACATCATTAGCATTTTTATGGCGACATAACATACAAAAATATGTTTTAATTCTTTCGAATAATAAATTGTATAAAAAAAAATATTAATTTCATGATTTTCAATTCTATTATTAATTCTCAAATTGTCAAGTTCACATTTATAATTAGTATCTTTAATAAAAAAAATATCTTGTCACTAAATATGTTATGTCATGAAAAAGAATTTAATGAGTTCGTGAACAATTATGAGTTATATTTATGCACACCAATATCGCTTTTTGTGACTCACTTTTTGTATATAGATAGTTTTAATAATTAGCGATAAATATTCAAGTAAATAGTACTAAAATGAAAAAAAAAATGAATTTCTTTACAACGAGAGGAGTGGAATTGTCGGAGACAATATATTCTTTCATCTTGAATTTAACTTTATTTAAAATATATAAAAATATAAGAAATCTATTGATATATGTCTCTGTGTATGTATGTATATGTGCGCGCGTGTCTCTCTTTCTCTCTGTCTGTGTGTGTGTGTGTATATATATGATAACGTATTATAATCTTTTATTAAATCTGCAAATTTAATTAATACATAGAAGACACATAGAAATTATTAAACTATGATACATAACAGGAGTTGGAGCTTTCTAAAGCACGTTTGAGAACTCTCGCAGCTTATACACCTACCGAAGAGGAATTACAACAAGTTGCTTCAACATATCGAAAATATCTTCAAAAGAGATCAAGTTCTTAATCACATTATTAATCTTCATCCAGAGGATTTACAATGATGAATGTTATTACGATCTAATAACTCGAGCCGAACGAACAAACTTTCAATTGAAAAGTTTGTTAATCGTCAGGATCGATGAATCAGATCGTTTAGCGGTAAATTTAACTTACTTATACGTAAATCAGTATAAATAATTCATATTAAATATATTAAATACATATATATATATATATGTGTGTGTGTGCGTGTGTGTGTGTGTATATATATATATACATATATGAAAATGATCCAGTTGAATCAACATTTAAAACTATGATGAAAGAAAATAATAATCAAAAATAATAGCAAATATAATTGTGCCCGCTTAATACTATCATTTTAATATATTTTTCGAATTATATATATATTATATATTTAAACATATATATATATATATAACAGATGAAGTTAATTTGTAGAAAAATTAATAGTTATGATATCAATCAACATATGTTGTTGTACTCTCTATTATTAAGACGACTTGATCTTTTATATTAATCAATAATTTTTTCCACTACAAAAATTAATTTAGAAATGATGAGAATATAATATATATTTCTTCATAATTATTAACAAGAATTATTACTTACACGTGAATCAAAAAATCGAACTGTTATATTTCTTAAATTTCAATTGTGTGTATTCTATAGATTTCGTGGCAGGGCACAATTTTAAAAGAGACAAGTTCGTACGACGTTCACCTGTAGGAATGACATTCATATTCATTTTCCATGTTGTGGCTGCACTATCATCGACAGTAATTACCAGCGCATACAACGTGGTATGTTCGATAGGATAGCCACGTTTCCTGAACTGTCCTGATAAGAGCCGAAGACAATAATTTGTCGGAATGCTACTATACAGTTTTATTTTAAAGTCGTGCTATATACATGTATCTAATCTTGACCTTCTGAAAAAAATATAACTTTTAAATCTTTAAATTTCTTATTATATTATAAATATTATAGGTCTTCTTCGCAACATAAAATCAAACCCGTTATCTTCCATTCTATCCTGGATAATTGCATATCCTAAAGAATTATTTACGCATATATAAAGAAACTACACGTTCATCATTTATCATAGAGCTGATCAGAAATAGTTACAAAGTTCAATTATAAATTTCTAAAAATGCAATGCTATTAAATGATTCTAATTTTATAGAAGTTTTATTTTTAAATCATTAAAAAGTCAGAAAAGGCCAACATCTGTATTTTAATAACTTACCTACATAATTATAAATATTATGTTAATAACACATTTCTATTATAAAAATGTTCCGCACACCTCTAAATATTCGAAGAAACTGAGATAAAACAGTTGTAACAAGTAAAATGTTACTACATAACTTTAAAACTCAACGTGGCATAGCAACGACAACTGAATAAATAAAATGCGACTGTACGACATCGTCATTATGAACCAAAAACATCTGTATCAATATATTTATTATCTTCAAAAATATCCTTTTCTTCTATAATATGAATAAATATATGTTATATATGAAAATTGTTATAATTCAGAAATAACTCTCTTTCCCTTATTTGTGTTATTTTATTACAAATATCAATATATATATATATATACTTTCATTTTGACATGTCCCGCACAATATATAATTTTACATATTATAAGATATATATGATAAATATATGTACATTTTTCTCTTATACATAATATCCATTATATACATATATATATATATACACACAAAAACATATTTACATTTGATCAAAATTTAGAACAAAAAAAAATAGGTGAACTGATAGTAAATATGACTTCCATTATTCTTATCGCTTACTCGCGGTTGCATAAGTGTAAGTTGGTATAAGTTTGTTACATTTGACTACTTCCTCCCATTAATACTTTATCGTTTATATTGGTGGGGAACGTAATATCTGCTAAACGATTATTATTATTTTTCACTTGAAGCTATAGCAAAAAATAAATGTCCTTGCAAGCTTATGATGTAGGTTTTAGGATAATATTACTTTACAACACTCATAAGTTTACTTACTCTATTTAAAGCGGTAAAAAATATAAAGATATTTAAAATTGTTACCATGTCATTTTATTTTCATAAATATCGTATGATCACATTATTTTCTGCTTTCTAAGAAATATCTTCAGAATACAATTACAGTTTTCTTTAATACGAATATTTCGTAAAAATATTAGAATTTTTATATTTGTTCGGTTTTAAATATTAATATTACAATATTAAATTAAATACCTTACAAACCAGTATTATATTTAAATAAATAAAATAGTTCTAATTATTTTTTATAATTTTCATTTTATCTTATCTATAATTGTAAGTAAAATGTTATCTAAATACTTTTTAAATTTTATGGTAGTAATCATTTTGAGTTTATAAGAATAATTTAAATTCATTAAATCAATTATCTGCATGTTTGAACGGTTATTAAAATTATATTTATCAAATAAATTTGCTATATATTCATAAGATCTAGATATATTACCTTTAATTACTTATAAAACTATTTATTATTGGTGCAATTTTTTCAGGATTAATCAAATGAACATGATGAGTACCATCAACTTCATGATATTCATATTTTTTAGCACTTATTTTTATTTCGTCTAGGACCTTCTGATAATTTTCAGGTTGCTCGAACTCCATACCAGGAACGGCCCGAATGTTAAGGTACGCACATGTTATTTTTGATGCATATGCAAGTACCAAATCTAAGGATAGCATACCTAGTGTAGAAACCTGTAAATTTTAATCAATCATTCACGTTGCTATTCTTAAGATAAATATCTTTTTATTTTATTACTTACCTTCAATCTTGGGTCACGAGAAAAATAATATTTCTTAGGAATATACGAAGGTTGTATACCACGTTTCATTAATATTTCAGCCCCCTTTTCGTTTATAGAACCATTATAAGCAGCTACAACTATATCCATCATCTCAGAATACTCATAACATGGAATATTATCTAATGTAAGATTTTCATATTTTAAGAATTTATCAATATTATCTCCTGTTATTTCTGCAGTCTTAGTTATATCCCTTACACTAGGGCTAACTATATCCAAACTAATCAAGATATCTACTTCTTTGGGATAAGATGCAGCATATAAAAATGATATTGCTCCACCCAATGAATGTCCCAGCAATTTTACCTATACCCAAAATGACATAATTAATAAACAAGAAATATTAGAAATAGCACAAATAAAATTTATGCTAGTGATGTCTTAACATATATAAACAATATATATATATAATAATATATATATAATAATATATATATAATAATATATATATATATAATAACATATATATAATAACATATATATAATAACATATATATATTATATATATTATATATATATAAATGACATGCAATGTGTTAAAATTGTTAATTACTTTTTATAATTATGATTTACAAGGATGACTGTTACATTTTAATATTATAGTGCTGATTAAGGTATACAAAAAAATATTATGACAGTATACATTATCCACTTTCATATTATTCGCAATTAACACTATTCTCTAACCTTAGTCCACTTGAAATATTTTACAATTCTACGTAGAATTATGACACCATCCCAATAAACATAATAGTATTGACTTTTTGGATAATGAGAAGATAAACCATGCCCAGGCATATCCAAACAAAGTACTGAAATACCATCAAGAAGTAATGGGATCAAGGTATCAAAACTGCCTGCATTATCCTGACGACCATGTAGAGCCACTATTGGTTGAACCCATCGAGGGCCCCACCATTTGCCTGTAGGTAAGTAATAATATTATTGACATAATTATTACCTCTTTTTCCAAAATGCAATTATGATTCTACTATAGTATTCTTCTAATTAAGTTATATATCACATCTTGAAAGTCTTTAAACAATGTCTCGAAATGAAACAAAGTCACAGCAGAATTAAAAATATTATACCCTATTCAATAGGGTTTTTACAAAATAGTTATACAACGACCTTAGAAAGTTATCATTGGAATTGTAAGAATCAAATTGATTCTCAGACTTTTACAATTCTATCTCTGTGTAGTACATACTTTAGCTGATGATGGTACATAATTTAGCTGATGGTAGTACATAATTTAGCTAATGAAATAAAATACACATTATACATACACTTTAACATGGATTTGTAACAGTCAACCTTTTTCATCATAGATTAAGATGATTTTCATTGTGTTAGATAACCAATACATTGTATTTCTATAGCATAATTGGTGAAATAAAAATATATATTATGTGAATTAAGTATTAAATAATAAATATTAATTGTTATTTATGAAGTTATTAAAATATTACCTATATAATATGTATTCCGATTTATCATATATGTAATATCTCCTAGAATTGAAAGAAATACTTAAATTTCTATTAAATAACTCAAAAAAGAAACAACCTATATCTTAATACCTGATAAAATAAAGGTACAAGTTTCATTATACAAATTATTAAAGTAAGATCTACAAATGAGAATTAAACATGTAATGAAATCGTAATTATTGTTAGTAGACCATATAAATGAAAATGATATTAATATATGATAAAAAAAATATTATCGTTGTATAACTTCCACTGCTGGCTAACCTTGTTCCACTTGTAATGTTTTACAATTCTACGTAGAATGATAACCCCATCCCAAAATATATAGTAGAATTGTCCCAATGGCATGTGAGAGGAGTAACCATGGCCAGGCAGATCTATGCTGAGAACAGGTAAATTTGACGATATTAATGGTGCCAAGCTATCGAAGCTCCCTGCATTGTCCTGCCAGCCATGTATTGCCACTATTGGTTGTGTGTCTCTTGATCCCCATAATTTTCCTAAATGTTTCATTATTATGAATTTTACATTTTCTTTTTTACTTTTCCTTTTTAATTTTTTTTTTTTTTTTTTTTTTTATCTAACCAATATAATAAAAAGAATTTCTATGTATTTTAATGTATTTTTCAAACTAAAGATGAGAAAAAGAAAAAAAAGACAATGAAATATAATTTATACTAACCGCTTATAAAGCCCCAAGGTACAGGGATTTGTATATCTTCAGGATCTAAAAAAGAAACTTTTGTATTAAATATCAAAGATTAGTCAAAGATTATATTTAGACAAATATTATTTTATGATAATGTTATACTAAAGATTCAAAATATATATATGGTTATATATTTACTAGATAAAATCTTACCTTTTTGTTTATAACCATTTGTATCACTAATTAATGACTCATCTTTTTTGGCAATATTTGTAGTATCCATCGTTTCTATATTCAAATACTACTTTCTAAATTACACTGATAAATATAAATATATGATTTTAACCAATTAATTTTATAAAACGTGTTATTATACCATAGGATCAATATTCGCAATAATAACCCCAACAACAGAAAATTTAATCAGTATTGTTTTAAAGTATTGTTTAAAGCATCCAACTTCTTACACTTCAAATGATGTTATGATGTAAGCAATATTTTACATTTTGGACTTTCATATTGAAACTGTTTAACGTATTATTTCCATATACTATACCAATCACACGAAAATTATAGCACAAATAGATATAATGTACTAAAAAAATATTAAATAAATGTATTGTACTAAAATTATTCGCATGAACTATTCAAAATCAAATTAAAATTTATTATCGATATTATAAGCAAATCAGAATAAATAAATTGTTTATATTATAGTATACAAATGATTATATTATTCTTTCCGTTATTTGAAATAATATTCTGACGGAAAATACTTTATAATTTTAATGTATTTATCATCTTGTAATTGCAAATAAAATATACAAGTTTACAAGAGTTTACGTCATAAATTTTCTTAGTAACAATTTTTATCAGATTTTATTTATCAGAAGATATCCGAAAGATAAAGACTTTTTATATAAGATTATCATTTCAAATTATTAAAATAAGGTTTCATTTATATGAAATTTACTTTTGAAAATTACCTATTTTTATACGAGATTTTTTGCAAATAGAATAACATTTTTTCAAAAGTTGGAAAGGCAATCTTGTATAAAAAATTTTTATTTTTCAAATGAAAAATCAAAATCGGACAAAAATTTCATATTATAATCCATTGAATTTTATACAGGTAAGTTTATATTGTATGATATCGAGAAAGTAACATGCGAGTTGCGTCTAATTTTTTACTTATCACGTTATTTTGAAAAAGTATAAATTATAAATTTTCAAACAATTATTTGTGTAAGGAATAAATTTAATTAAACATAATTATTAATTATAACCAATCAATGATAGTTATTCAGAATAACATATTTGTTATCACGTGTCTACTTCTTAATGATTTTCTTTTTACTTTGTTTTTTCTTAAAAAATAACAGATAAATATCTCTAAACTTCTGGCGAATTATTCTTTTTTTAAGTTATTTTAGAAAGATTTATCTTTTTATATTGTCTTTTGCTATTTTTGACTGAATATTCATACATATTCCATTATTATTTCGAAATATTCGATTATATAAGAATTATATTATTATAATCAAATCTAAACTATAACCTTAGTGATTCAAGAGTAATATGATAACATAAATGAAGAACGAAGAATTGCAATTTTTTTTGTAATAGGACGAAAATATATCTATTAGTTTCTTTTACATAACCAGTTTTTTCTATTATTATCAGTTTATTATAATAATAAATTGTTTTAGGCAGATGCAAAACAAATAATGTACATAACGTCAATTGACTATGAGAAAAATATTAATGTCTATCTAAAAATCGTACATTTCATTTCTCCTATGGAATACGTATTGACTTTGTAACAATTGTTATATCAAAATTAACGATTATACATTTAGTATTTTACTGTCAGCTCAATTCTTCAATTCAAGCACACCAATAGGGTAAACTTTATACACAAGCATATATATCGATATGATGAATCGAGAGAAGAAGCTAGATTCTCCTAAAGCATTTTTAATTCATTTTTTCCCGCATTGATCGCTAAAGTCGTACACGTTTTTAGCGATGTTAAATAAATAGCCCTGATACTTAAAAAAAAGTGATAAAAAAATGAGCAATTTTAAATAATTAAAGTTACTTAGTGAAATTAATAAGCATCTAACTATTGTATATCATATAATTTATTTGATCCTTTTAGAATATTTATATACTATAAATATATAACAATGGAAAATCCAGAACGTATAGTAAAAACTGTTATTCATGTAGGTACAAAGAATGTTACCTTTGTTCCAGGAACAAAGGTATGTTTATAATGTTTACCATTTATATGTTTTAATTGTAATTTTGACAATGTTTCATTATTAGTGTTCAGAATTCATGTCGTTTATCAAATAAAAATATATAAAGTATTATTTAGGTTGTATTTCATTTTAAAACGACAAAATGTGATACCAATAAAACTGTAATAGATGACAGTAAAACTATGGGATCTCCAATGGAATTGATTTTAGGAAAAAAGTTCAAACTTGAAGTATGGGAAGTAATTGTACAAAAAATGGCATTAAATGAAGTGGCTTGTTTCAAAATAGATAAAAGTGTATGTATATTGTATATAGATCTGTCTTATAAAATGAGTAAATAACTATTACTGTACATTTCTCATCTTATTCATTGTTTTAGCTAGTTACTGCATACCCTTTTGTATCTAAAACATTGAGAGAAGTAGGTAAACCACAATCTGAAAAACGCAGTCATCATTGTTGTGGAGTTACTCTACAAAATGAAGGTATTGGATATGAAGATTTAAATGAACTTATTAAATATCCCCAAGATTTAGAATTCACAATAGGTATGCTACTTTATTTTTTCTTAAAATATATTCTATTATAATTCTTACATGAGGCATATATATAATATTATAGAACTTATACAAATAATATTACCAAATGAATATGAAAAGGAAACATGGCAGATGACAGAGGATGAAAAACTTAAAAGTGTGCCAGATTTAAAAGAGAAAGGAAATATTTTTTTCAGGGAAAAAGATTATGATAGAGCTTCTGAAATGTATGCCAAAGCTATTGGAATTTTAGAACAGCTTATGCTTGCGTTAGTATTTAAGTATTTTTATTATTATAATAATAAACTTTTTCATAATTATTAATATAAATTTAAATACTTTAAATTTGTCTAAATTTTTAGGGAAAAACCAAATGATGACGAATGGTTGACTTTAAATAAAATGAAAGTTCCGTTATTATTAAATTATGCACAATGTAAATTAATAAAAAAAGAATATTATTCGGTTATAGAACATTGTACAACAGTTCTAAAAATTGAACCAGGTTTGTATTATTTGTTTATACAGATACTAAAAGAAAAAATTATCCAGCTTAAAATTTATTTGACTGATTCTTGTTAGATAATGCAAAAGCTTTATATAGAAGGGGGAAAGCTTATATTGGTACATGGGATGAAGAAAAAGCTACCAAAGATTTGAAAAAAGTTGCAGAATTAGATCCTTCCCTGCAGAATATGATTGATAAAGAATTACAAGCACTTTCAATAACCATAAAAGAAAAAGATAGATTACAACAAAAAAAACTCGTACAAATGTTTAAATAATTAAATATATATTAAATGATTTTTATTTATATACATTTTGTTTTTATAAGAGAACATTATTTTGTTTGTTGCAGTAAATTACGTTTTTTATTACTAAAGTATTTGCTATAAATATTCTTATACTCGCGAAAATTATTACGTAGAAAAGAGAGATCTGAAGTGAGATTTTGTTAAATATTATCAGTATAAAACATTATGACACGTTTAACAACTTGTTAGATCTATTAAGTTTTAGATAGATAAATCAAACTTGTAAGTCAAAGGACATAGGATTGAAGGAAGTTGTATTAATAAAGACATATCATAGCATTAACTTCTAACAATAATATATTTCGAAACATATTGTCAATGGGGGATAAACATTATAACAGATAAACTATATGTTGAAATATAAGATTCTTAAGTTTGCAAGCTTCTCGAGTTGATTTCTTCAGTCCTGTACAAATGTACAATTATTAAAAATAAAAAGAGAAAAAAATGATACTAATAAATTTCGTACAATGTAATTATTTCATAAATACAGAAACAGGACATCAGAAGAATAATAATATTTTTGAAAAGAAGTAAAACATTTAATACAATTTTGAACAAATAATATTACTTATACAACTATGTCATTGCATTTCATCTAACAAGCTGAAATGCAAAGAATTCTTGTAGACTTTATTTCATTGAAGAATCTACTATCGCAAAGTTTTGCTAAATAATTAATAATCTATTCATTTTAGATATAGAAAAAGCAATTATAAATAAATCAATGACTATTAATTATATTATAAAACAAATAATATAAATAAAATATAAATATAAATAAAAACATGTAATAAGGTAATGTCTTGATGTAAACTTTTTTTAGTAAAAATGCTATAATAAATACCCTATTCATGTATTTATGTCAAGTAATATTCTATAATTCTAATCCTTATGCAAAAGTGATTCTTCAATGATTACACATTTCGTTGACAATGAAATTATCTAAGATGGACAATTAACTGAATCATAATCTTAATGACATTAAGTTTCTTCATTTTCGTTTTGTTTTAAATAAGTCTTCTATACACTAGAATTGTGCAGTTCTTTATGAGAATCTAAATTTAACTACAGAAAGCGTTATGTGTAATATAAATACATTACATTTTATTTAACAGACATCAAAAAAATTGTATATAACAAAATTGCTCATAAGAAATGTTATCCTTTAAAAATGTATGAGATATGGAAACTGTATTTCTAAGTGTAGAGAGCAAGTTAAGGAATAAGCTTATTTATGATATTTTGGTTTTAGTGTTTATTTTTAATACTTCTATTTGTTATCTTTCTTAAAAATGTGACATAGATTGACAGATTATTTTTTTGAGTTATTTAATAGTACTGCATCATATATTTGAATTAGACAACGCTTCTGTAATTAAATTCAGCAACAGGTATTTTAATTTATATATAATCATTCATTGCTATCATGTACACAAACTCATTTACTCTTGACACATGCTAATTGTGAATAAAGTTCAAAAGATCTTGACATACACTGCTTTACATTACAGATTTTGTAAAATGGCAACTGATATATAAAGCAGTGTTTATGATACAATACTTTCCCATAACGATCAATTGAGACTTTGACCATGGTAACACACTGATGTTTCAGACTAGAAAAGTACAATTGGCATTAATTTTATAATAAAAAGAAATAAAAGCTGATTTGTTATATTTTCTATGTTACTTTGTAGGCACTTTCTACGAGTAACTGGAGACTCTTAAAATTGGTAATAAAAACTAAATTCATAATAATCTTCTTAATAGTAAGAACTGTTTCACTGTTCTGTGCATTACTACTTACATTATAAAATTCTTATAATTATGAAACTTTAAATGTAATTAACAATGAGGTGCATAACTAAATGTTATCATTATGTTATGAATCATTATTTGAGAAAGTGAGTAAAACGTATACCCTACTTTTTCACAATGATATTTACTTGTTTTAAATAATGTATGACTGATTTACATTGTAAACACTGTTATTTCTATTATTTATTTTTTCACTTTGAGTGTAGAATATTTATAAATATTTATCAATCAACATTTATTGCTTCAAATCATCTTTTCAAGACATCTTCAATAAAAGATATTGTATAGAGATATATATATATATATCGGAATATAACAGTAAGAAAAAAGATGGGTAGCATAAACTATATGCACAAATGAATATTTTAATTTATAAACAATTTGGATTGTTAAAACTAATTCTAAAAAAAAACAAAATGTAATATAAGAATTTTTTATTCTCTACAAAAAGTGAATACTTTTTGTTCTCTAGCCTTTATTCTTTTAAGTATAATAATAATAATTATATATTAATACTTCAGGATACAGTATCAATAGATCCACTCTTTTATGTACTACTCGCTTTTCTTTGTCAATATTACATCAGTAAATAATATTTTAGATAGCTACCATGGTCGAATGATATATTAGTGCTTATTGCTATTGGCATGTATTTATTCTGTTGCTATATTACGTTTACTTATCGAGCAATACTGATTTAAACAGAATGAAGCATTAAATCATCTTTAAACAAAACTTAAAACAAAATTTAAATACTTCGTAATTATTAAATGCAACATAGTTACTTGACATTTTACATATATATGTATGTAAAATTTCGTGTACTAAGGAACTATGTGGTTTCAATGCGTCCTTGAATGTAGTTATTCTTTGTTCATGGTTTTTAAGGCACCTAATACATATGGTACATATTTAATTAAAAAACATTGTAACATTTGGCTAGAGAAATATGTCACCACATATTTGTCATGTATTGTTGTAACTTAAAAATCATGAACGGCTATATCTGTTATACTGTAAAATTGAATTTATTATACATTTATAGAATACCATGATACGTCCTTTTATAAAGGCAAAAATCAATATAATAAATTTGTTAAAAAATTTTGAGGCAAAACAATATTTAATATCATAATTCGCTCGTATATTTAAAAGCAGTAGTCTAATGATCACTTGTATACATGTAATACTTTATTTTTAAACATTTATTAATCTGGTCAACTTGTTAAAATGTATAGCAATTAATATTTTACATGAACGTAGAATTAATATTATAATTAAAGTTTTCAATATATCTCACAGAAGTGATTAAAAATTGATCAAAAAGTGAAAAACAATAAAAAAAATGCACATTATAAAATTCATTTCAAAAGTTATTAAAAAATTTCATTATAAATCAACGAATGTAATTGAAAAAGTTATAACAATGTTTTGTAATTTTATAAATAGAAATATTTTTGGAAATACTGACTAGTATTTGACATATCTCTCTGATTGATTGACTGTGAATCACTTCATGTACTCGCATAACAATAACAAAAGAGAAATGTAATTCTCTTTAGAAATTATCACTAATAACGTCGAAACATTTTTTATGGAGTTGTCGATGTTAAAAATGTGGGATCAACTGCAGCAACTTTTGCAGTAAGAAATGCATGCATACAGAATAATAGGTTCTGTAGCTGAGAACACTCCAATTCCTGTGAAATATAAAAATGCACATTCTTCACTTTAACAAGTTTTGGAATGCTTTATATTGTATAATAAATTCTTTGTATAATATCTACTATATAATAAAACTATAACTTTTAAACAAATATTCTCCATAATTATTTGGAAAAATATTACACTTTTGCTGCCTATAAATAAAATTTAACAGGATACCTTTGTCTCTATAGCAATACTATCAGGTTCTTGAAAGTGCAATTTGAGTCTGCTCTTGCTATCATCACTAGATCCTCTCAATTGAGAAAATTTATAACGCCAAACGATTTCTCCAATTCCTTCATAAGAAAGAGTAAATCCCTGAGTCCATTCTAATGTCAAACCTGCACTTCTGCTATTAAATGTGACAGGAAAGGTTTTACTCTGAAATTTGGAAACTCTTACAATAATAATAAAACTATATTATTTTATATATCTAAGTAAGTAACTACTTAATTATTACTGACTTTTAAATGTGTAACAGCTGAACATACAGCAGTATGCCAAGCAGCTTCAACTCTTAATAATTCTTGTCGAGTTTCAACACTCAAATATCTTGGTGGTTTACCCGGACTTTGTGCCAAGAAGCAGTGTTGTCTTTCATCTACATTTTCAGACTCTCTCATTACACGAAACATAGTCTGATATACTTTAAATGTTAATGCACATCGTGACCAATCACCTATATTACACTAAAAAAAAGAAAGAAACTAATATTATGAATAATAGTTAAAATAACATGTATAATAAAAACATATAATATACACATGCGCTCGTGCGCACACACATGTATATAAAACTCATATAATAAAAACAGTAAAATTGATTATACTCACAGGTGGTGTTTCAAACAATAATAAATCAGGCCCTTTCAGAGCTAGAAACCTTGGCCTGTAACTCTGCCATGGTTGATTACTATTGCTTACTGCTTCATTTACCCAACCCATGTATTCTATACGTTCACCTGGTCCAAAATTTCGATTGTACAACTTCATCTACAATTTATCAGAAATATTTATAAATTTTTCATGCACATGTGCATATTTATTTTGTATTATTAAATAATTTAAAAATATGTATTTAAATTACCTGTAAATGTGTTAAACCTGTAATATTATCAGTTATATATTTTAACCATTGACTCAAAATAGCACTGTCGTCACAATGTATCACACCAGTACGTGCACCATTAAGGCCTCTAACTTCAAATGCATTTCTTCGTAATTTATCAGTGCCAAAGATATATCTTGTTACATATGCCATCATTAATGGGACTGTAAAAAATATTTATTATTTATTCTTATGTGAAAAATTACGAATAATGTGAAAAATAATCTATTAACCTGTAATAACATCCACCCATCTTTTGTACTGCATTGAAGCAGATGATGCATTTGAACTTTGTCTACTATGACCACATCTAGGACTACCAGTTTGTCTATTTGGCGATACCCAACCATCATCTGCACTTCCATTTGCAACATTATCTAATTTTTCTTCTTTTTCTAATAAAAAAAAAAAAAAAAAAAAAGAAAAAAAAAGAAAATGGAATAATTATAGACTTATCAGTATGAAATATGTAATTTAAAATGTATTCTCATTATGCTTTTTAAATATGCTTCAATTACCATTTTTCTGCAGAAATGGTTTTGCAGCACGATAATGTTTGACAGTTAAGACAACTATGTCACCAGCATTCCTTAAGATATTAACAGCATCATCATGATTACAAGCTGTAATATATTCTCCATTCACTGTATAAATACAATAAATGAAATATATTTATTGATTATTTTGATAAATGTAATAAATATAAAGCAAAACATAATAAATAAAATTTCCAATCAAGTCAAAAA